CCTGGTCCTTAACTGTTGTCTTCCTCCTGGTGTGGCTATACAACAGCTTTGGGTCAGACTTGACTTTCGATGCTATGTCACTTTCGTACTGTCGCTGGGCCTTCCTCCTTATCTGTGCATACTCATTTCTGACTCTTCGACTAGTCTCTTTAATGTTCTGGGTCCTTTGTCTTCTGTATTTTTTCCATTCTTTAGAGCACTTAGTTCTTGCCTCCATACACCTTTGGGTAAACCATGGACTCGATCTGGTCTTTCCATTATTTTTGTTGCCCTTGGGAACAAACCTCTCCCCAGCCTCCTTGCATTTTGTTGTCATGTGGTCCATCATTTCGTTTACTCATTTTCCTACCAACTCGCTTTCCCACTGAAACTCTTCAGGAAGTCCTCATGCCTGTGTAGCACCTCCTTTTGTAGTTTGGCTTTACCCATCCTACTCCTGTTACCCTCTCCACTTGCAACTCTGCATATTCAAAACTCAGGACCACGTGATCACTAGCTCCGAGGGGCCTTTCATATGCTTATGTCCTCGATGTCCAAGTGCTCAGGGTGAATACGAGATCCAGTCTTGCTGGTTCATCCTCACCTCTCTCTCTCTGTAGTAGTGACTTTAACATGTTGATGCATGAGGTTTCCCAGTACCACATCCATCATCTTGGCTCTCCATGTTTTGGCACCCCCATGTGGCTCCAGATTTTCCCAATCAATCTCCTTGTGACTGAAATCACCCATAACTAGTAACTTTGTTCTACCCGTGTGAGCCCTTTCACCAGCTTAGCTAGTGTGTTCACCATTTCTCTGTTGCTCTCTTTATATTCTACTCTTCTCCTCCTGCAGTTTTGTGGTGGCTTGTACATCACTGCAATGACTGCTTTATGTCCACCAGATTGAATTGTACCTGCTATGTAGTCCCTTTCTCCCATTTCGTACATTCCTTCCATTTCCTCCAATCCCCATCGGTTTTTATTGAGCAGAGCAACTCCTCCTCCCCCTCTTGCTCCCCTCTATCTTTCCTGAGGATCTGATATCAGGGTGGAAAGATTGCATCTGTTATTCTGGTGAGTTTCGTTATTCCATCCACATTCGCATACTAAACCTTCAACTTCCTTTCTAAAACTGTGGTCTGGAGAGAACGTTGGGGTTGGAGAAATAGGAGACCTGGGGGAGGACCATGGGGGGATTGCTGTGGGGTGGAGTTTGTGATGAGGGGCTAGGGGCAGTGGGTGCAGTGTGTGGGTTTTGGATCAGAGTGTTTGATTGCACTGGGGTTGCTATGGTTGAGGTCCTTCTGTAGGTGGTTCTGAGGGAGGTTGTATTTGCTCTTCCACCTGAGTCTGGGTTCTCCTGCTCATCTCTCTTTCCTCCTTGCATCTTTGTACCCTCTCTTTCAGTTTCTGCCTTCTTTTGTTTTGTCATGGTCTGGGTACACCCTCCAGTACATTGGAATGTCCCTTAGTCGTGCTTTCTCCTGCAGGAGCCTGTTTCAAGCCCATTCTGCCTTGAAGATCACTTTGACGGGTCAGTATTTTCTCCTTGCAAACCTCCCTATTCTCAGAAAATTTGCCAACTGGGTCATGTCGTCCTCTCTTATTGCTTTTATGATATTTTCAATCACTTTTTTCTCCTCCTGCTTTCTTGCTTCATAAGTTTCCCCTTCAACTTCCTCTAGCTCATAAACAAAAATCAACCTCTCCTTTTTATTCTCCCACTACGTTTCCTTTTGCATCCCCCTGAGCCGATTCAGTTGCCCCCATTGCAACACTTCATCCTTCAATCTCTTGTCTATCTGATGTCCCTGTGCTCAGTGGTCTGTCATTTTTCCCTTCTCAGCTCTTCTTGGGCATTGCTATGGCATGTTAGGGCCTCTGCATATAGCTTAGTTTTTTCATTTCCTTTAGTCCCCTCATTTATTCCTGGTGTGCTCCTCGTCTTTTCCCGTCTTTTCCCACAGTGGTTTGATAGAGCCTCTGCATACAGATTAACTCTTTTGTTACCTACATTCTCCTCGTTTGTGACCAATGTGGCAGTTCCTGGTGTCATGCATGTACTGCTTTTTGGTTCTTTGGACTGTTTCAGCTTTTTTAGTTCCTCTACTAAGCTCTGTATCTTAGCTTCTGCTGCTGTGGTTCATAGCTCCCTTTTCTTGTTGTCTACAGCTGCACTGTTCCTCCCTTTTCATGAGTTTTTCCACCCAGTCTTCCTTCCCAGGCTCATCCACCAGTCCCTTGGTTCTCCATCCTGCTGCTTGGCAATCCATTTTTTTTATCTTTGTGCTTGTTTAGGTGTGTGGAGGTGTACGTTGGAGGAAGGGAGAGGGGGAGAGGGATAGAGAGTGGGAGGGGTAGACAGTGGCAGAGGGGGAGAGAGATGGGAGAAGGATAGGGAAGTAAAAGGAGAGAGGGGGAAGGGAAGAGAGAGGAAAGGCAAGGGGAGAGAGGAAGAAGTGTGTGTGTTGTGTGTGTGTGTGTGTGTGTGTGTGTGTTGTGTGTGTGTGTGTGTGTGTGTGTGTGTGTGTGTTTTGTGTGTGTGTGTGAGTAGGTGTGTGTGTGTGGGAGGCAAGGGAGGGAGAGGGAAGAGAGAGGTGGGGAGGGGGAGACGGAGGAGGAGGAGGGAGAGAGGAAAAAGGGAGACAGTGGTGAAGGGGAAGAGAGAGGGAGAGGGGGAAAAGGGGGGGGAAATACGGGAGAGGAGAGGGAGAGGCAAAGGGGGAGAGAGAATGGAAGAAATAGGTGGAGGAAAAAGAGGGAGTGGAGGGGAGAGAAAAGGGGAGTAAAAGAGAGAGAGGTGAGGAGGGTGTTGGGGAACAGGTGTGGGGGAGGGGGGTTGGGGAACATTGTGGGGAGTGTGTGTTTTGTTAGGGAAAGTGTGTGTGTGTATATGTGTGTGTGTGTGTGTGTGTGTGTGTGTGTGAGTGTGTGTATGTGTGTGTGTGGGCCTATATGAGTGTGGGTTTATTGAATGTGTGAAAAGTAGTGTGTGGGATTGTTAGGGTGTATGAGTGTGTAAGTGTGATTTGCGTGTTACACGTGGTTGTTGATAAGCGGTGCCACTCCTCCACACCCCTCATGTTCCCTGTCTTTCCTCAGGATCTGATATCCCATTGGAAAGATGGCATCTGTTATCATACCTGTGAGCTTGGTTTCTGTGATAGCTATGATGTCTGGTGATGCCTCTTTGACTCTTTCGTGCCACTCCTCCCACTTATTTGTTATTCCATCAGCGTTTGCAAACCATACCTTCAGTTTCCTCTCCAACACTGTATTTTGGGAGGTCTGTGAGGGTGGGAGACCTGGTAGTGTACTGTGGGATTCTATAGCTGAGTGTTGAGTGGGAGCTGTGAGTATGGATTGGAGTTTTTGTTGGGATGGTGTGATAGATTGTGGGGTTCTGGGGATGTGCTTGCTCTTGTTGCTCTGCCCTGCTCTGGTTGACCTCTGCTGATTCTGTCCTTGTCTCCCTCCCTAGCTCATTTTGCTTTTGTGTCCTCTCCCTCAGTGTGTCCTTCCCTCGCTCTCCTGAAGCCCATGAATAAACACTGACTTTGCCCTTTCCTCCTCCCATTGCCTTTCCTTCTGTGACTCTGATTCTTGTCTGTACATGGCCATTTTCTTCCTTGTTTTTTTTTCCAGTAGCTCTTGGTAGCATGGTCGTGCCTCTGCATTTGACCTATCACTCTCTCCATCTGTGCCCAGCTGCTCTCCCCTTTCACTTCTTGACCCTGCTTGGCAGGCTGATATGACCTTATCGTAAGTTATATCTCCTTCCTTCCTGTTCGGCCTCCAAGCTTCATATGATGTGTCTTCTCTGGTCAGTACCCCTGTAACTCACTTCAGCCTGTTTACTTCATCTTCTAGGACCCTTATCCTGGCTACTGCAGTTTCGACTTGTGACACCCAATTCTTCTCCTCCAACGTCTTTTCCAGTTTCACAGACAGCTCTGTCTCCATTTATGCAGAAAGCTCTCCTAGATTTCTCTCCCAGTCTTGTTCCATCCTTTTGCACTGCTCCTCCATCCACTCCTCCCTACCAGAACCATTCTCCTCTGATCCCTGGTTCCTTCGAGTCCCCACCATTTTCTTTTCTTTGTGTGTGTGTGTGTGTGTGTGTGTGTGTGTGTGTGTGTGTGTGTGTGTGTGTTTGTGTGTGTGTGTGTGTGTGTGTGTGTGTGTGTTGTGTGTTTCTGTGTGTGTGTGTATGTCTGTGTGTGTGTGTGTGTGTGTGTGTGTGTGTGTGTGTGTGTGTGTGTGTGTGTATTGTGTGTGAAGTTAGTGGGTGGAAACAGTTTTGTTTAGGGATCTAGTACAAATTAAAATTTGTCTAACTTGATTCAGTAACTCTGATTAGAAAAATTATGTATATATTATATATATATATATATATATATATATATATATATATATATAATATATATATATATATATATATATATATATATATATATTTCAACACACCGGCCGTATCCCACCGAGGCGGGGTGGCCCAAAAGGAAAAACGAAAGTTTCTCCTTTTACATTTAGTAATATATACAGGAGAAGAGGTTACTAGCCCCTTGCTACAGGCATTTTAGTCGCCTCTTACAACACGCATGGCTTACGGAGGAAGAATTCTGTTCCACTTCCCCATGGACATAAGAGGGAATAAACAAGAATAATAACTAGAAAGAAAATCGAAGAAAACCCAGAGGGGTGTTTATATATGTGCTTGTACATGTATGTGTAGTGTGACCTAAGTGTAAGTAGAAGTAGCAAGATATACCTGAAATCTTGCATGTTCTTCTGACAGAAATAAGGACACCAGCAATCCTACCATCATATAAAACAATTACAGGCTTTAGTTTTGCACTCACTTGGCAGGACGGTAGTACCTCCCTGGGCGGTTGCTGTCTACCAACCTACTACCTAGATAATATATATATATATATATATATATATATATATATATATATTATATATATTTTATATATAATATTGACTCCGATGACTTATTTTAATTTTACTGTACAGATGGACTAGTATGGCACTGGTTAGGTGGTTCTGACGAATATGAGGAAAGCGGCTGGCACTGGGTGACCGGAGGCACTGTGCCAAGAAGTGTTCCCTTCTGGTATCCTGGTCGCCCTACAATTGATACTTCAGTGAACTGTTTGAGCATGCACAGTCAAACAGGGTATTTGTATGATCATGAATGTAATCTCAATGGTTCCTTCATCTGCGAGGAATTTCCCTTCACTGTATGATATAAATAATGGAGACATTGTAAGTTTCCAATAAAACTACAGCAGAATATAAAAACATAAATATGTTATTGTGTATATTGCAGATCAAAAAAGACATTGTATATCAAAATAAATATGTACTGTATATGAGCCTGTATTATATATTTTCATTAACCTACACCTACTCTACTCAACATAATTCACCGCATCAAGAATTAAATATCATCACTGACTCTCACTATCATGCAGTACCCCAAAGCTGTCCATTTTCTTTTTAAAACTGCAATAATAAGCGTAACTACAATATAACTAATATATATATATATATATATATATATATATATAATATATTATATATATATATATATATATATATATATATATATATATATATAATATATATTTTTAGGTACCACCTCTATAGTTGGAATAGAGACCCTCATCCTCAGAGAGGCTGTTTGAATATTTTCTTCTCCTACCACCCCTTATATATTTTATATTCAATGTGAACATTTATTGATAAACAAATACATGTGCAGAAAAACACAAATATGAATACAATGGTACAATGTATTAAAGATCATGAATTTCCTCCAGCTCCTCCGAAGCCGGACGCGAGCCAAGTATGCAGCAAGCATTTCCCCTCTGGATGGCTACGCTGAGGCGCTGGAACATGAAAGTGGGTGCCCTTCGGTCACTGGTGGTGTCGATGAGTCTGGAACCCAATTCTTTGAGGAAACGTGTGGCATTTTTCCCCCATGATCCCAAGGTCTCTGATCCCACTGGGACAAATTGATACTGTTGGCTTATGTCCCTGTACTTGCTGATCTTGTACTCCTCCCTGTGGTCAGCAGCTCCTCCCTGTCGCCCAACACTGTGATGGATGTGTCAGCCAGTGTGGACACACAGGTATAGTTCCATGCTAAGAGCTTGCCATTCTTTCAGGGATAGATGGTGATCCCGTCGGGGTGGTTTGCTGGGTTGTGGGTATTGTTGACTGCTAGTGATCGGGGGCTCCCTCTCGGCTGGGCATCCAGCTGTAGCAAGGGTTCTCTTTATGATGTCATTGACGTCATTGTGTCTTGCATGCCAGCCCTTGGTTTTGGAGCAGTCAAGACCATGCAGACCGTATTGGTCTGCTTGCGCTTCACCGCAAATACACATATATTCTGTGTGAATTGGGGCAGCAAGGCGCAGGGACACTGCAATACGGAGGGTCTTAGGGTCGAATCGCGTTCCCATTGCCGATATGGGAACTGTTTGGAGGAAGTCCCCTGAGTGAGTTGCTCTCACAGCCTGGAGACTGGCAGTCTCCTTATCTGATGTTGCAGCCCTGAGCATGTTGGCAAGCACCTTTTCAGCGATCGGGCCATCCCAGCTTGACTGTTTGTGAGCCAGTGCTGCACTAGGGTTTGCTGCCGGAGCAGCAAGAGCCTCCTCCCATTCAGTGATGGTCCTGGTGTAGCTAGGGTCCTGTATTCTTGCTGAGTCACTGAAGTTATCAGGAAGAATATGTCTTATCAACTCGTTTGATGCTATGGAAGAGGATATAATATATATATATATATATATATATATATATATATATATATATATATATATATATATATATATATATATATATTATATATATATATATATATCCTCAAGGGTGAGTGGTGCACTTAGGAGTCTGTGGAGACAAAGAACTTTGTTCTTGGAGGCAAAGAGGGGAATGTATGAGAGTATAGTTTTACCAACGCTCTTATATGGGTGTGAAGCATGGGTGATGAATGTTGCAGCGAGGAGAAGGCTGGAGGCAGTGGAGATGTCATGTTGAGAGCAATGTGTGGTGTGAATATAATGCAGAGAATTCGTAGTTTGGAAGTTAGGAGGAGGTGCGGGATTACCAAAACTGTTGTCCAGAGGGCTGAGGAAGGGTTGCTGAGGTGGTTCGGACATGTGGAGAGAATGGAGCGAAACAGAATAACTTCAAGAGTGTATCAGTCTGTAGTGGAAGGAAGGCGGGGTAGGGGTCGGCCTAGGAAAGGTTGGAGGGAGGGGGTAAAGGAGGTTTTGTGTGCGAGGGGCTTGGACTTCCAGCAGGCATGCGTGAGCGTGTTTGATAGGAGTGAATGAAGACAAATGGTTTTTAATACTTGACGTGCTGTTGGAGTGTGAGCAAAGTAACATTTATGAAGGGGTTCAGGGAAACCGGCAGGCCGGACTTGAGTCCTGGAGATGGGAAGTACAGTGCCTGCACTCTGAAGGAGGGGTGTTAATGTTGCAGTTTAAAAACTGTAGTGTAA